GGTGGGAGGCGTATGAGCAGCGTAGGCCGGCTGGTGCAACACCTTTGACTTGGCAGGAGTTCTCCACTCTCTTCTTGGAGAAGTATGTACCGCAGTCTCGCAGAGAGGAGCTGCGCAGACAATTTGAGGGGCTACGGCAGGGAGATATGACAGTGTCCTAGTATGAGATGAGATTTTCTGAGTTGTCTCACCATGCAGTTTGGTTGGTTCTGACGGATCGTGAGCGTATCCGGAGATTTGTTAATGGTCTCACCTACCCTCTTCGTGTTCTTATGACTAGGGAGCGAGTGCTGGGTGCCACATTCGAGGAGGTGGTTGATATAGCCCGAGAGATTCAGTTGGTTCGCCGGCAGGATTGAGATGAGAGGGAGGCCAAGAGGCCTCGAGGTTCTGGTAGTTACAGTGGCGCTCCTTCGAGGGGCCAGTTCCAGCAGGGTCGGGGTCGTTCTTTTAGGCCCGCTCAGTCAGCTCGACCCGAGTATCGAGGAGGATCTTCAGGTTGTGGTTATCAAGGTTCTTAGCAGAGTCAGCCATCTCTCAGCGCTCTTCCAGCACAGAGTTCATCTCGTGCTTCGTCTGCTCAGGGTTCTTCTAGGCCGAGTGCATCAGCTAGTCACTCTGGCGCGAGGGGTTCCGTTCAGTCCCAGATCCCAACACTCAGGAGTTGCTATGAGTGTGGAGAGTTCGGGCATATGCGGAGGGAGTGTCCTCGTCGTGCTGCTAGCTCATCTCAGCAGAGGGGTCAGCCCTCATCTTCTGGTCCAGTTTCTTCAGCACCCGCCCCGCCAGCTAGGGGTGAGGGTCAGGTAGCCAGGGGTCGCCCCAGGGGTGGAGGTCGATTGGGCGGTGGTCAGGCTCGCTTTTATGCTCTTCAGGGCAGGACAGATGCTATTGCTTCGGATGCTGTGATTACAGGTATTATTTCAGTCTGCCACAGAGATGCCTCAGTCTTATTTGATCCCGGTTCCACCTATTCCTATGTGTCTTCATATTTTGCTCATCATTTGGGTACGACCCGAGGGTGTCTTGCTTTACCTGTCCATGTATCTACCCCGGTGGGCGATACTGTCGTTGTGGACCATGTATACCGGTCATGTTTGGTTACTATTGGGGGTCTGGAGACCCGAGTTGATCTATTGCTATTGAGCATGGTAGATTTTGATGTTATTTTGGGCATGGACTGGCTATCTCCGTGTCATGCTATTCTAGACTGTCATGCTAAGACAGTCACCTTGGCTATACCGGGTGTACCGAGGATCGAGTGGCGTGGTGTGACTGACTATGTTCCTAGTAGGGTGATCTCATTCCTAAAGGCCCAGCGTATGGTTGGGAAGGGTTGTCTTTCATATTTGGCATTTGTGAGGGATGTGGGAGCCGAGACTCCTAGCATTGATTCTGTCCCGGTTGTGAGGGAGTTTCCAGATGTGTTTCCTACAGACCTGCCGGGCATGCCGGCGGACAGGGACACTTGATTTTGGTATTGACCTGGTGCCGGGCACTCAGCCCATTTCCATTCCGCCATATCGTATGGCACCAGCAGAGTTGAAAGAATTAAAGGATCAGCTTCAGGAACTCCTAGATAAGGGGTTCATTCGGCCGAGTGTGTCACCGTGGGGTGCACCGGTTCTATTTGTGAAGAAGAAAGATGGCACCATGAGAATGTGCATTGACTACAGGCAATTGAACAAAGTAACAGTGAAGAACAAGTACCCCCTGCCTCGTATTGATGATTTATTTGACCAGCTTCAGGGAGCGAGGGTGTTCTCCAAGATTGACCTCCGTTCGGGCTATCACCAGTTAAAGATCAGGGATTCGGATATTATGAAGACTGCTTTCAGGACTAGATATGGGCACTATGAGTTTTTTGTTATGTCCTTTGGGCTGACTAATGCCCCAGCAGCGTTCGTGAATTTGATGAACAGTGTGTTTCGGCCGTATCTGGATTCGTTCGTTATTGTTTTCATTGATGATATTCTGGTGTACTCGCGTAGTCAGGAGGAGCACGCACAACATTTGCGAGTTGTATTGCAGAGATTGAGGGAGGAGAAGCTTTATGCAAAGTTCTCCAAGTGTGAGTTTTGGCTCGAGTCAGTGGCTTTCTTGGGGCACGTGGTGTCCAGCGAGGGTATTCAGGTCGACCCGAAGAAGATAGAGGCGGTTCAGAGTTGGCCTAGACCGACCTCAGCCACGGAGATTCGTAGTTTCCTTGGGTTGGCAGGTTATTATCGCCGGTTTGTTCAGGGATTTTCCTCTATTGCATCGCCCTTGACCAAGTTGACGCAGAAGGGTGCTCCACTTGTATGGTCGGACGAGTGCGAGGAGAGCTTTCAGAAGCTCAAGACAGCTTTGACCACGGCTCTAGTGTTGGTTTTGCCATCAGCTTCAGGTTCTTACACTGTATATTGTGATGCTTCGAGAGTTGGGATTGGATGTGTATTGGTGCAGGAGGGTAGAGTTATTACATACGCTTCTCGCCAGTTGAAGCCCCACGAGAAGAAATACCCTGTACATGATTTGGAGTTGGATGCTATAGTTCATGCTTTGAAGATTTGGAGGCACTACTTGTATGGCGTATCTTGCGAGGTATTCACTGATCATCGCAATCTTCAGCATTTATTCAAGCAAAAGGATCTTAATTTGAGGTAGCGAAGGTGGCTAGAGTTACTCAAGGATTATGATATTACCATTATGTATCACCCGGGGAAGGCCAATGTAGTGGCCGATGCTTTGAGCCGAAAGGCGGTTAGTATGGGGAGTTTGGCGTATATTCCAGTTGGGGAGACGCCCTTTGTAGTTGATGTCCAGGCCTTGGCCAATCGGATGGTGAGATTAGATATTTCGGAGCCTAGTCGGGTGTTGGCTTGTATGGTTTCTAGGTCTTCCTTATATGATTGCATTAGAGAGCGCCAGTATGATGATCCGCATTTGCTTGTCCTTAAGGACAGGGTTCAGCATGATGATGCCAGGGACGTGACCATTGGTGATGATGGTGTGCTGAGGATGCAGGGCCGGATTTGTGTGCCCAATGTGGACGGGCTTCGGGAGTTGATATTTGAGGAGGCCCACAGCTCGCGGTATTCCATCCATCCGGGTGCCGCGAAGATGTATCAGGATTTGAGGCAGCACTATTGGTGAAGGAGGGTGAAGAAGGATATAGTATGGTTTATGGCTCGGTGTCTCAACTGTCAGCAGGTAAAATATGAGCATCAGAGACCAGGTGGTGTACTTCAGCGGATGATTATTCCCGAGTGGAAGTGGGAGAGGATTACTATGGATTTTGTGAGTGGTCTCCCTCGGACATTGAAGAAGTTTGATTCGATTTGGGTGATTGTGGATCGGCTGACCAAGTCCGCGCACTTCGTTCCAGTATGTACTACCTATTCTTCGGAGCGGCTGGCAGGGATCTTTATCCGGGAGATTGTCCGATTGCATGGAGTTCCAGTGTCTATTATCTCGGATAGGGGTACTCAGTTCACTTCTCAGTTCTGGAGGACTTTTCAGCGGGAGTTGGGTACACAGGTGGAGTTGAGCACAGCGTTTCATCCTCAGACGGACGGGCAGTCCGAGTGTACTATTCAGATATTGGAGGATATGTTGTGTGCCTGTGTTATTGATTTTGGAGGTTCTTGGGATGCGTTTTTGCCGCTTGCAGAGTTTGCCTACAACAACAGTTATCAATCGAGTATTCAGATGGCTCCGTATGAGGCGTTGTATGGGAGGCGGTGTAGATCTCCTGTTGGTTGGTTCGAGCCCAGTGAGGCTAGGCTATTGGGGACAGAGATGGTTCAGGAGAGGCTTCGTACAACACAGTCGCGTCAGAAGGTGAAGCTGATTCAGGAGAGGCTTCGTACAGCACAGTCGCGTCAGAAGAGTTATGCGGACCGGAAGGTTCGAGATGTGTCTTATATGGTTGGTGAGAAGGTCTTGCTGAAGGTTTCACCCATGAAGGGTGTTATGCGGTTTGGGAAGAAAGGGAAGCTGAGTCCGCGGTTTATTGGGCCTTTTGAGGTACTTAGGAGGATTGGGGAGGTGGCTTATGAGCTTGCTTTTCCACCCAGCTTGTCGGGCGTGCATCCGGTATTTCATGTTTCTATGCTCCGGAAGTATGTTGGGGACCCGTCTCATGCATTGGACTTCAGCACTGTTCATTTGGATGATGAATTGACCTATGATGTGGAGCCAATGGCTATTTTGGGTCGTCAGGTTCGAAAGTTGAGATCAAAGGAAATAGCTTCGGTAAAGGTGCAGTGGAGAGGTCGGCCCGTGGAGGAGGCTACTTGGGAGACCGAGCGAGAGATGCGGAGCAGATATCCTCAGCTGTTTGAGACTTCAGGTATGTTTCTTGACTCGCTCGAGGACGAGCGTTTGTTTTAGTTGGGGAGGATGTGACGACCCGGCCCGTCGTCATGCGAGTTGCCGCCCCGTTTCCCCCATTTTCTGCTTCCTTATATTTTATTATAAGAGTCTTGAGTGACTGAGTCGATTTGGATTGGTTTTGGATGGAAAGGAGACACATAGTCTCTTTAAGGAAGGTTTGCCTTGGAAAAGTCAACCGGATGTTGACTTATGAGTTAGAGGGCTCGGATGTGATTTCCGGTGATTCGGTTAGCTTCGCGGGATGATTTGTAACTTAGGAGTGTGATCGGAATTGATATTGGAGGTCCGGTATAGAATTAGGCTTGAATTAGCGAAGTTAGTATTTTGGCGAATTCCGGTTGTTAGGTGAGATTTTGATTTGAGGGTCGGAATGCAATTCCAAGAGTTGTTGTAGTTTCGTTAGGTGATTTTGGATGTGTGTGCAAAATTTCAGATCATTCGGAGGTGTTTTGGTTGGGTTTTTGATCGAATGCGGGTTTCGGAAGATTTGGATGAACTTAGGCTTGAATTTGATGGTTTAGGTGTTATTTGTGGTGTTTTGATGATTCGAGCAAGTTTGAATAAGGTGTTGGATCATGTTTGTGCTTTTGGTTGAGGTCCTGGGGGCCTCGGGGTGATTTCGGATGGCCATCGGAATGATTTTTGGACTTAGTAAGATTGCTGCAGGTCTGGTATCTGGTATTTCCGCACCTGCGGTAAAGGAAACGCGGATGCGGTTGCGCAGGTGCGGGAGGAGGTTCGCAGGTGTGGTCTATGGCTTGACTGGAAGATTCCACAGATGCGGAAGGGAAGCCGCATCTGCGAGGCCGCAGATGCGGTAGTTGTGTCGCGGAAGCGGAGGCGGGTGGATTTGGCATTTCCGCAGAAGCGGACACTAACCCGCAGGAGCGAGGTCCGCATATGCGGTAGAGGACCGCAGAAGCGGTCGTGGTCTTTAAGTGTGGATCCGCAGAAGCGGAAATTAACCGCAGAAGCGGTAGTCGCAGATGCGGTGGTGGGACCGCAGATGCGAAAATCCCTGTTATCAGAAGGGTTTTAAGGCTCATTTTATTCCGCGAGCTTAAGTCTAATTCCACCATTTTTAAGCGACCTTGAGAGCTCTTGGACGGAATTTGAAGGGGATTTCAACTAGGTGTGATTGGAGGTAAGTCCTTTGGCCTTAATACATGAATTAATGGTAGAATTTACATGGAAATTTGTGGAAATTCATCAAAAGAGGGTAAAGCTAGGGCTTGAAAACTTGGTATTTCAAAGTGGAATTTGAGGGGTCAAATAGACTCCAATTTTGGTAAATTTGATATGTATAGACTCGTGGCGAGATAAGAAATCCGGTGATGTTAATTTTCTGATTTTTCGAGAAGTGGGCCCGGGGCTCAGGTTTTGCCAACTTCAGGAATTTTGATATTTTCCGAGTCTTTTCGATTGGGTTATATTTCCTTAGCCTATTGTAACGTATTCGTTGTGGTTTTGGCCAGATTCGACGCGCGAGGAGGTTGATTTGCGAGGCAAGGGCATAGCGAGCTAGGACTTTGGCCGGCTTGAGGTGAGTAATGGTTATAAATGATGTCCTGAGGGTTTGAAACCCCGGATTTGCACAACGTAGTGCTATGTTGAGGTGAGACACACGCCGCCTGATGAGTGTGGGGTCCATTACTGCTGGGGATTTGGACTTGGTCCATCCCGATTGATGATTCTACTGTATTTTTGACTGAGACTTAAATTATATCATTATAGTTTATGCTAGTTGCCATGATTGGGGCCTTGTGCCGGCCTGTAGAACCCTTAGGGGTAATTGTACACGATTGACCTCAATTTACTCGTTAAAATCATACCCTCAGTCGTGTTTCTAACTGTTTAATCTAATATGAACCGGTTTTGGAATAACTAAACCAAAAGGAGAGCGATATATGGGCTGGGATCCCTATCTTAACTTAGTATGCCCGAGAGGCTGAGTTTATAGTGACTGAGAGGGGTTGAGAACCCCATAGTGAGGGTATTTGATATGTTATGGATCGGGCTGCACGCCGCAGCAGTATATATATATATTTATATGGATCGGGCTGCACGCCGCAATAGTATATTATTGGATCGGGCTGTGCGCCGCAGCAGTACATTCATATGGATCGGACTGCTCGTCGCAGTAGTATAGCGCTTGGGCTGTAGGAGCACCTCCGGATTCTGCACACCCCCAGTGAGCGCAGTCGACTATTATTATTGGATCGGGCTGCATATATATATATATATATATATATATATATATATATATATATATATATATATATATATATATATATATATATGGATCAGGCTGCACGCCGCAGCAGTATACTATATGGATCGGGCTGCACGCCGCAGCGGTATAATTATGATTTCGGTTGTCGTGAGAAGTAAATGAGTTTAGTACTGGCTTAAAGGATTTTTACCTGACTTCTTCATTCAGTTGATGTTTAAATGTTCTTACTGCTTTGATATAGAACTACTTAGTCCTTTTTACGATATTTCTTTCCGTCAGTCATTATTTATTGCTATTACTCATTGAGTCGGAGTACTCACTTTACTCCCTGCACCATGTGTGCAAATACAGGTATTCCGGAGGCGTAGATTGAGCTATTGCTGCTATTCAGATCTCACTGGAGTCATCGAGGTAGCTGCATGGCGTCCGCAGTCCCGATTTCTCCCTCTATCCTCTTTACTTTCAGCATTTTAGACTATCTTTTGTTTAGGCTGTTCCTCAGACTTGTATTGGAGGCTCTTGACTCGTGACACCAGATCGGTGGGATTTGTAGTGATATTTCTTGTTTTCCGCATATTTTATCTACTGCTACAGATTTATAATCATGTTAATTTGGTATTTAAACCCTGTTAATTGGTAATGAACTCTATATGAGGGATTGAGAGTGTTGAATTGGTTGGGCTTGCCTAGCACTGTGTTGGGCAACATCACGACCGGGTTGGGGTCGTGACATCTATTCATAGGTTGAGCATTATGATTAATAAGTAGGATCCACAAAATGATCTATTTATTTGAGTCATTGAAATCTGTTTAATATACCATGTGAAAATTATTCTTGATAAATTTACATTAATGGTGGAGGTTCTTAACTAGAAAAGGAGTTTTATCTTTGGGTACTAGTGAAACCAACTCCACCCATGAGAAGAGATATTGGGATTTTCGCCGAACGAGAGAAAATATAATATCTTTGGTTCTTGTGTATTTAATAAAAGGGTAATTTGTTGCAAAAGGAGATATTATATATCCTAGAAATAGGAAGAACATAATATATGCCTTGAGCTCATAATATAATTATAAGGAGAATGAAAATCAATATCATATTTATTTTAATTTATGAAACTACTTAAAACAATTATTCTCCGAGTTTGGTTACAGGCTGGTGGTCATGAATTCAACGAACTCCGATTGACCTGAAATTTGGTGGGTTCATCGAAAATGATCTAGTGAGAAAAACTCACTGCTATGCAGTGAATCATGTTGTTTTTCGGCATTTTGAGGTCGCTTAGATGGGTTATCAAGCAGTTTATTAAATTGAATTTGTTATAAATATGAAAAATTATTCTTTATATATCGGCTATATTTGTGTTAAATCTGAAACATGATGATTTAACTTGATATGATATATAGCAAGAATGAAAATCACATGTATTTAATCCTAAATACGCCCAAAAAAATAATTTATTCGAATTTGGTCAAGTTTTTGGCGATCGTGAATTTCACGATCTCCGAATGACCTGAAATTCGGTAGGATCATCGAAAACGATCAGCTAAGAAGAACTCACTGCTATGTAGTGAATTACATCGTATTTTGACGATTCGGGATCGTTTAGATGAGTTTTTTTGGAGGTTTGGCGGATTAAAATGTAATTTACATACGAAAGTCATTTCTATCATTTTATTTATGTTTAATCCGAAACATGATAACACATATTGATTTGACATTAATTGGTATATGATAAGAATGTAGGTCATATTTTAAATTCTTAAAAAAATGCTTAAAATGGTAATTTTCCAAATTTGGTCGCAATTTTTGGAGATTGTGATTTTAACGATCTCCGATTGATCTGAAATTTGGTAGGTTTATCGGAAATAGCCCAGTGAACAATACTCACTGCTATGTAGTGAAAATGTTAATTTTAGCGTTTGAAGACTATTTAAATAGGGTATTGAGCATTTTTTTTATTATGAAACTTAATCCTCAGAGAAAAGTTCGTGGTTGTGATAAAGTGGTGATAGGAGTTAACTCCTTTGGTCACCAATTTTATTTATAGTGAAATAATATATTTACGCGTTGACATTAGGTCTTCCTCCATATCGAATAAATTTATTATGAACTCACTGGATATAGTTACTAGTTATTGATAACCTGTATTAACTCTCTATCTGGTTCAAATGGTTGAATCAATTTGTAACTAAATACAATCATGAGTAAGTGGTGATAGAATATATTTCTATGGTCTTCCACTATTAATTTTAAGTGAGTAATAAATTTACACGTTGACTTGAGGTCTTCCTCCATATCGGATAAATTTATTGTAAGCTCACTAGGTGAAATACTAGTAATTGATATCGTGTACTTACTCTCCATCTGAGTATACATGTTGGATCAATGCAACTAGAGCTATTAATTATGGTGTTCACTTGACTTAAATTAACAGTATATTCTCCAGCTGAGTTGTATCTGTTTTAATTATTGGAGTGAATAATCTAGCATTACATATGTATGTTGCATGAGTAGTTCTTTTCCCATCGAAATTGCTATTCAAGATGCATGACATGTATGTGTAGGGTGTTCAGAATTTTCGTATTAAAAAGTTATATACAATTGACTCAAAATAATAGTATACTCTCCATCTGAATTGGTTCTATTTATTTTTGGATTGTATAATTCTTGCATTATATAATATACTTTGCATGAATGATTCTTTTCCCATCGAAATTTATTATTCGAGATCCATGTATGTATATAAATATTGAATGCAGTCTGAATTTTACTATTCAGTATTTTGACTTATTGTGATCTATTTAATATTTTTATCTCAAGTCCACAGTGACTTTATGAAATTTATCATTATCCAACCCACTTTTAATGGATAATATGGGTGGTTAACTATTTTCTTTGAATTGATCCATGGCGTAGCTTCGCCGCATCAGGTGCGTGTGGAAGTTGATCTTCTTAGACCTCTTCCTACCTCTGTTTTTGTGGGAGCTGAAGATGAGAACATGTCTCTTAATTGTTATGTTCAAAAAATTGAGTGGGAGAATGTCCCTAAATACTGTAAGCATTGCAGGAAGATAGGACACTCTCTGATTAACTGTTGGATTGTTGAAAAAAAGAAGCGAGAGGAAAATGAGAAAAAGAAGGAGGAAGCAGGGGAAGCACAAGAAGAAGATTGAAGGTTACATGAGATATTTGGGATTTCAACACTGCCAAGCTAATATGAATGGGCAGATTTGGTGTTTCTAGAAGCAGGATTACCATTCTGTTATCATTGCTAACGAAGACCAACAGCTCACCATTAAAATCACTCATACTGTTCAGAACAAGGAGCTCAATATTATAATGGTGTATGCCAAATTTACAGCCAGGAAAAGAAAGGATCTTTGGTCCAGTCTTGAAGACACACACTCAGTCATAAATGGCCCATGGTGTATTGGGGGTGATTTCAATGTTATCATGGATCCAGAGGAGAAATTGGGGGGTACTGTTGATACCCAATTTTTCCTCAAATTATTTTCAATTTGCATATAGACCATCAAAATTAGGTTTTCATAACAATTGGTATTTTTCTATAATTTTCCTCATATTTTTACTAATTCATTTTTATTTATCCAGTATTTTTATCTCGAATAATTAATTATAAGTTTCATTACAAATGATTTCAAAAGCATTCCTTGATTTAATATATCATTTTTGGTCCTATTAAGACCAAATGTATTTCACAAATTAGCCAAATTGGCAATATTTGGTTATAATTGCAATGACTTTGCAATTATGGCCTAATTATATATTTTGTGCTATGTTTTTACTCAATAAATAGTCATTTATATTTTTAATACTAATTAATCATTTTAATTTAGTTTATTAAGCATCGATTTCATTTTTTATAATTATTATCCATTTTGATAAATTATTTATCTATTTTTATGGGATATTTAACAACTAGCCATTTTTAAATTTCAATTCTAGCCTAATTAACCCAGACCCCTAACCCAATAAACTAGCCCAGTTACCCAACCCAAACTTATAATCTTACGCGGCCCAACCCTCGTTCAATCTGAGCCGTTGATTAATTCAAATCAACGGCCCAAATTAATACTTACCATATTAACCCTAAACAACTACCCCCTGTAACGACCCAACTGATCATTTTGAACAATTGCGTCCGGTTCGGCAGTATTAGGTCACGAGAAGCTTCATATTATGTGTATCGACTTGCGTGCGCAGTCCGGGCGTGAAACCGGAAAGCTTTTATGTGAAAATATGAAAAATATAGTAATTTCTAGTGTTAAAATTTGGTTTTTTGTTGACTTTGGTCAATATTTTTGGTAAATGGACCCGGATCTGTGTTCCGACGATCACGGGAGGTCCGCGATAAAATATGGGACTTGGATGTATGCCCGGAATTGAATTCCGAGGTCCCTAGCCTTAGAAAACAATTTTTGAAGAAAATTATTGTGCTCGTTTTTAAAGGAAATAAATAAATGAATTAATGTTTGAACTCGTTGGTATTGGGTCTGTATTTTGGTTCTGTATCCTGGTACAAGTTTGTTATGATATTTAAGTCCTACCTGTGAAATTTGGTGAGAATCGAAATTGATTTGACGTGATTTGGACGTTCGGTTCAAAAGTTAGAAAATCATGAGTTTTGAGGTTAAATTCATAGTTTTTGATGTTATTTTAATGATTTGATCGCACGATTAAGTCCTTACGATGTTTTTAGACTTGTGTGCATGTTTGGTTTGGATCCCCGAGGGCTTGAGTGAGTTTCGGATAGGTTTAGGCTATGTTGCGCTTGTTTTTGGATGCTTCATCGTCGTTTCTTCAAGCAAAAATGATACCATATTGAGCAAATGAGATCGAAATTCAGTTTTGTTTGATCCATTAGATCCGTATCGAAATTACGGAGCCAAAGGAAAAAGAATCATCGAATTTGGACATCGTATGAGGAAGTTATGCTCATTTTCGTGTCGGGAAAATTGCTGGTTTCTGGTGTGTTCGCAAATGCGAACTTTCTCATCGCATTTGCGATGCCCAATTCACTAATGCGAACTTCTGGTCTCAAATGCGACTTCTGTTAGCACTGCTTTGTTCGCAATTTTCAAGGGTTCGCAATTGCGAACCCTGGGTCGCAAATGCGACATGTGAGCCCTGTTAAGTGAGGTTTTTGACGGGATTTTCACCCATTTTTCAATTTTCTCAAACCCTAAACCTCCATAGGCGATTTTTCAAAGACTCAAACTTCTCCAAATCATTGGGTAAATGTCTCTAATCAATTTTCAACTATATTTTGTGATTTTACCTTAGAATTAACATCAAATTCATGAGAATCTAAAGGAAATTTTGGGGAAAATTGTGAAATCTTTCAAAAATATAAAATGATGATTTGAATGACCAAATGGTATCGGAATTAGATAATTTTTGTATGGGTGAACTCGTATCGCAATGGGTATTCGGTTTTTGTAAATTTTGTTGGGATCCGAGGTGCGGGCCCGGGGAGTTGACTTTTGTTGACTTTTTGCAAATTGTATAGGAATCATAGTTTTGTTAATCGGAATTGTTTTCTCTTGAATTGTTAGATGTATTCAAGTTGTTTTTTGTTAGATATGAGCCGTTCGGAGGTCTTTTCACCCGAGAAGTTCATTTTAGAGTATCGGTTTGTCGTCTTCGAGGTAAGTATCTTGCCTAACCTTGTGTGGGGGACTTCCCCTTAGGATTTGAGTCTTCTATGCTAATTGCAGTCCCTGCATGCGAGGTGACGAGTGTGTGCTCGGACTTATCTGTGGGGAAATATGCTTTAGGGTTCTTAGGTCCTTACGTTCAATATGTGGAAAGTATTCCGTTATGATTGAGTGTAATAATTGCTTAAATTGTCTCTATATGCTCTGCATGATGTTATTAGCTTTCCTCTAATTCCTACTTGTTGCTTTGACCCTTAATTGCCTTAATTGAAGTGATTGCCTTCCTTACTACTTTGTTACTTCTTGATTGTGAGTTCCTCTATGACTTCGTGCAAATAGATTACATGTCCAATTATTGTGGTTACCGGTGTAGTTATCACTTGCTTATTATGTCTTGTTGTTTAGTTGAGGTTTCATTGTGAAGTAATTGTTGGTACAAGTTTGGTTATAGCTGATTCCCTTGCCGTGACATATTTCATTCTTACTGTTGGTTCCCTTGCCGGGATGTGTTCATTCTTGTTGTTGACTCCCTTGCCGTGATATTGTTGTTTCCTTATTATTCCCTTGCCGGGATTCTTTGTGATTGGTGTTGACTTGTATATATGGGATCGGGTTGCACGCCGCAACAATATTATATGGGATCGGGTTGCACGCCGCAACAATATTATATGGGATCGGGTTGCACGCCGCAACAATATTATATGATTAGGATCGGGTTGCACGCCGCAACAATATTATATGGGATCGGGTTGCACGCCGCAACAAATATTATATGATTTGGATCGGGTTGCACGCCGCAACAATATTATATGATTTGGATCGGGTTGCACGCCGCAATAATATTATATGATTTGGATCGGGTTGCACGCCGCAACAATATTATATTATTTGGATCGGGTTGCACGCCGCAACAGTATTATATGATTTGGATCGGGTTGCACGCCGCAACAATACTATATGATTGGGATCGGGTTGCACGCCGCAACAAGGAAGAATAAAAGTGAATATTGATTCTTATGGTGAGAACGAGAGTAAAAGCACGAAGGGTGATGCCGTGCACTTTCTATTGCTGTGTTTATTTTTTGTTATCAATTCAAGTGTTTTAACTGTTTAGTTTCCTTTATTGATGTGATCCTTTGCGTTGGAACCTACAGTGTTTTCAATACTTCGCCGTATATATATATATACATTCCAATACTTCAAACTTCAAAAATTGTTACATCTTTTAATTCAATTAGTTTCTCAATTATATCCCCTTAAATCGTCTGAGGTCGTATTTTACTTAAAAAAGGAATTTCTACTAAGTTTTAAGTTATTAACTCCCATGTTAAAGGTAATAATCCAGTCGATGTTGTACTTTAATTGAAAGGGGTACTTTCTTTACTCAAATGATTTCAAAAGAAACAACCTCATCTTTTCTCGCTGACTTTCCTAATTAGTTTAGAAATTGTAATTTACTCATACTAGGTAAATGAGACTTCTTGAACATCTTTAGTGCATTTGTATGGACATTCTGTATAGTATAGCATGTGGATTTTGTTGTTAAAAGTGAGATGTAAAATATGGGGGCACAAGGTGCCATGTGTGTTGAAGGTTTGGAAGTTGGAATTATGATATGAGAAACCGAGGATTGAGATGGTCGGGATTGTGTATTGTACATGATGTGATTGATTGAGTTGGTATTGCCTTCTTTATTTGAATACATTCTTACTTGTCTCTGTTCCTGTTATGTCAGTGTTGATTTACTTGGTTATCTGATTTACTTGGTTATCTTACTTACTTGGTTATCTAATTTACTTGGTTATCTGATTTACTTGGGTATTGTTCGTTACTACCCGTGTTCTCCCTTTATTGTTCCTACTATTTGTGTTTTGATTTCTCTCCGCTATTGATATTATCTCGTTATCTTTATCTCGATATTTTACTATCATATCTTGTTCATTCCATTTGACCAGTAGGTGTCTTGACTGTTCCTCGTCACTACCCCACCGAGGTTAGTCTTGATACTTACTGGGCACCGCCGTGGTGTGCTCATACTACACTTGTGTACATTTTTGTGTACAGATCCAGGTATTGATCAATAGTAGCTGTGCGGGTCATCGCGGTGGAGACTCACGGTAACCTGTTGCTTCATTTGCTGGCCTCGGAGTCACCTTCGTTTGTATTTAGGTTCCGTTGATTCCTTCTCGTTCTGGAACAGTGTTATATTTATTTTGTATAACTACTCTTAGAAAGGCTTATGACTTGTACCACCGGTTTTGGGAATTATGATTTATTGATAGTTATTTAATTTGAAGTCAGTAAATGTTAATATTATTTCAATAAATGTTAGGCTTACCTAGTTTAGAGATTAGGTGCCATCACGACTCCTTCGGAGGGATTTTGGGTCGTGACAAGTTGGTATCAGAGCTCTAGGTTCATAGGTGCTACCAGTCATAAGCAGGTTTAGTAGAGTCTTATGGATCGGTACGGAGACGTCTGTACTTATCTTCGAG